GTGACGCCAGCGACGGTGATGACATGCGGCTGGTAGTACGCGCTCAGAGTGTTCTTTTCGATATCGGGAATCTTGCGGCCCTTGCGCTTCGCATGCTCTTTGATTTTCTCCGCAAGAAGTTCGGCCTCCTCCTTCGTGGCGAGACGTGCAGTAGGATCGAATCCGCGCTGGACATCCGTCAGCTGGCCGTAGCGCCAGAAGAACTCGGCGAGGATGCGCGGCTGTTCGACGTAGTTGAATCTCTCGGAGACGACGGCTCTGCTACGATCCCAGCGGATGAAGCGAGCATGGCTGCCGCAGATGAGAAGCGAGATGGCGAAGGTGCGGTGCTGGCGAGCGAGCTGCCTCGTTGCGTACAACGCAAGCTGGCCCTGGGTCTCGAGGGCCTTCTCGGTGTCGTGATCCAGCGTCTTGGCCTCTTCCTCGTCTGTCGTGGGGGTTGGAATGAATGCGTCATGGGAGAGGTCAAGCTTGAACTCGATCCATATCTCTGCTGAATCCCACACCCATCTACCCACTCCTTCACGCTTCCACTTACCACCTACCCCCTTGAAGGCGCCAACATCCGGTTTAGATCCCGTCTCGTCCTCCCCCGAGTTCGAGATGTTCACCAGTATGTAACCAGGCATCAGACCGTTCTTGTTGACCGCGTCGATCTGAGGAGAGACTACATCAATGCTACCGTACAGTATCGTCAGAGGGCAGGGACACTCACGAATGGCTTGTACATCTGGTCCTCCCTTTTAGTGTGAACGGTGATGCCAGTATTGTAGTTAATGGAATTAAGGAGCTCTTCTGGTAAGTCGGCGTTGGCGGGGAGGAACTCCTCAATGAAGTCCTGAGCGGGGATTGGACCGGAGTAGTACGCGGACATCTCTTTGCGAAGATTCTTCTTGTTGGCGGGAAGAGATTCTTCTATGGCGGCGTGCTTTGCGCGACCAAACTCGGTAAGCTTGTTCGGAGAAGATTGTGTCGTATTAGTTGGTGCCATGATGAAAGGCAGCAGGGGCGGATGAGAAGGAGGGGAAGGTGAAGGGAAGGGGAAGGAAAGACGAGGACATACCGAAATGTGGATGGCTTTATGCAGTGGCGTTATGGCCAATCAATTGCGATGGCCAGTAGAACGTGGCCTGAGGCAGAGTGCTGGGTCTGAGTCACACGCAACGTGATGGTTGAAACCAAGTTGAACTTCCCAAATTGGGCTCGCTCGGCAGTGGCCCATTGTTCTCAAGCGCCCAAACCTGCTTTGGCCAATCACCTCGTGTTCGTCATGTGCCAACAAGTGCGAGTGGCTTAGACACAGCGAGAGTTCTGTACGCCAGTGCTGAGTCTCACCATCCCACATATTAGTCGTAGATTCACTTTACTCAGCCCAGTGACGCTTTCGACCTTGTCACGACTCACTGGGCAGATCAAGAGCCAGAACACTCCGTAAATGAAACTACTGTAAGTCCTCTGAGTCGATCACTCTGAAATTCTGGCATTCGCGCTTAGTTCATACGGTTGCAGGATCTATTACAGACCAAAAAGCCCTTGTAATTGTCCTCGGATTGAGATCAAGGAGGTTGAGGGCCCAAATATTCCGAATACAAAGTGCAATCCATCCCTAAAGACAATGAGTTGATGTTATGCTCCATCACCTCTCCGTAGGCGATTGAACTTCGGAAGCATCTCTCGTAAATACTCGGCGTGTTTTCGTCGGAGATCCGCCTCCTGCAACTTGCCACGACCGCTCCATATCCGTCGTTCGGCTGCAGGTCCATAAATTACTGTGTACTCGTCCAGGATTTCGTCTTCGGTTGGAACGACGAGGCATCCCGCACCAATGACGCAGTACGAGGATATACGGACGGTATGATGTACGCGTGCGCGGGTCGAAATTGTGTTAAAGTTCCCTACGGTTGGAGATTCCACACCTGTGGCGAGAAAAATGAAAAATGAGTATGGCCAAATAGGATTGGTACGCATCATGAGACGTACGACAGCTGATTTCAAAAAGGTTATCATCCCCTATACGCATTACCTCCTTCCGCCTGAAACATTCCAATGACAAATGTACAACAAGCACGAAGTGAGTAGGTACGAACCTATTGACGATAATAGCGCTTTCCTCAATGATACAGCCTGAACCGATGACAATGGGACCAGCAATGGCAAATATGGTCGCCTTCGGGTGAACAATGGTTCCTAATCAACCGCCCTTGAGCAATCAAGGAGTAAGACTTATTTGAGTAGAAGACAGCCCACCTGCTCCAATAGTGATGTCCCCCTTCAATTCGACATCCTGACACACAACTGCTCTCGAATGGATAGTGAACTTGTCTCGTCTGTGGAAAAACGTTAGCTCTTTGAAAGATCTCCAGGTCTAAATAATCACGTACTTACATTGGTGCCATTTGCAGCTGTAGTGAGAAAGAATAGCAGTAGAAGGTGCTGGTTACGGTCAAGAGAGAATGTTGCTTTGGCGCGCATGTTATGCGCCGAAATTTCAAACCTGGGTTTGACCTGACGCCTCCATCTGAATTCTTGAACCGTTCAAACACGCTCCTCGGACAACTTTCTATTTAACTTGAACCGGTATGTCTCCATAAAATTCTCATTATGACGGGAAGCTAACCAGCTATCATGCCAGCAGCCTCTCCGTCAAAGACCGGTGCAACAGTTTCTCCGCATCCCCGAATGGCATCCCAATCCTCAACACCGCCCAAACCCTCTCGACCATTATCTACGACAGAAGGTTTCATCTTGGGAGGGATTGCAGCATGTGTTGCGGTGCGTAATCTGTTCGGAGACACCGGTGGTGCACGCGACCACCGTTCTGATGACGCACGTTAAGGTGACCATATCAAACCCGGCGGAGGTAGCGAAGACGCGTTTGCAGCTGCAGGGTGAGCTGGCAAAGGACGGAGGCGTGAAAGTGTACAATAACGTGTTTGACGTGTTCAAGAAGACTTGGCACAATGAAGGGATTCGAGGGATTCAGCGGGGATTGGGACCAGCGGTGAGTTTACCATTCAAGTCACCACACCGCCATTGAGAACTCACATCGTGGCCCCCTTTCAGTATACATATCAAGTGAGTACTCTAATAGACAGTTACGGATAACATCTTCATGCCCTTTCCGCCAGATATTGTTGAACGGATCTCGTCTTGGTGAGCTATTTCCCGATCTTCGTTGCTGCAAAATTCTCAAGCTCTACCAGGCTTCTATGAGCCTTTCCGGCAAACACTGAATGGATTCGTTGGCCTGTCACCAACTGACCAAATGCCCGCGACTTCAATCGCTGCTGGTGCCGCGAGTGGTGCTGTGGGAGGTCAGTTCCTATCCTCGTCAGCGAGCGTTGGTTGACGCGTCACAACAGCCATACTTGGAAATCCACTATTCATGGTGAAGGCACGCATGCAGGCGCGTATCTGTTTATGTCAAATTTTATCACAAATCCCTAACCACTTCTACTCTCAATGGTAGGCTTACTCCCCAGCACTTCCCGTTGGCGCGCAACATAATTACAGGAGCGGCTTTCATGCCCTAAGTTCGATATTCAAGCAGCAAGGATTCAAGGGTCTTGTACGCGGTGTAGATGCTGCCGTTCTCCGAACATCTATGGGTTCATCTGTACGTGCTTGAGGTTCGGTTGACCAACCCATAAAGCCGCAATTTGACACTCAACACCCAGGTACAACTGCCGACATATAATTGGACCAAGAACCAGCTTATTAGCAATGGAATATCAAGACCTGATAGTGTGTGGACGTATCTTGCTAGTAGCTCAGTCTCTGGTATTTGCGTGGTACGTATCCATCACTGAGTGCGGTCAGATGACAACTGAGACATGCGATTTAGCTACTCATGATGCAACCTGCTGATACGGTATGACGTCTTTCCCCAGTTCTTTCGTCTGCGTGAGGCTGAATGTTCGGCTACAGACATTGACGCGAATGTACAACCAACCTACGAAACAGCTTCCAAATGGCCGCCACGTGGGAACCTTGTACAAAGGTCCCATAGACTGTTTGTGGAAAACAGCCAAAACCGAAGGAATCATGGCTTGGTATAAGGGTTCAACCGCACATTTCCTGCGGATTGCACCCCATACGTGAGTTGTCACTTGTTTTTATATACAGCTCTTTTCGTTTCTAAGCATCTCTGAACTCATTAGGATTGTCACGCTCACTGCAAACGACCTCATCATCAACTTATACAAGAGTATTCGGGATAAGAAGCGGGGAGACGATGATTCATAGATTTTAGATGGATTTGGTAATTGGTTTGGTCTATTGTACATGCTCGTGCGTAAGACGAGCATATCGCCACCGGCTGGCATAATACACTTTCATCGCAGGCCATCATCCATCACACCCCGCTTGCAAATACCCACCCGTCTGCTTGGAGGGAACTGACGGCTAACAATACCTTATCTTTTGGTACCAAGATGTAGTCCGTGTTCCTGGAAGAAGAAATGGTGTTTCGTGATGAGACTCTGTATAAGAGCGTGGCAACACCTTCCCCACCATGTGGACATCGCAAAGACGGGAACACCTGCATTTTTTAGCGTCGTCGTGAAGTTGCACAATACGCCAGTGATGCCTAGGACATGTCACAGCTTCGCTCCTCAAGATACTTATAGCACGAACCGAAGTCCATCGGGCCTGCAATTTTGATACATCTCCAATCTGCTGCTCCAACCCCGTTGTCGCCATTCGCCTCACCTACTACAGTTACCTCTTCCTCTGTTCTGGTAATGGAGATGAACTTCTGAGTTCCTGATTGGGGATCAACGACAGATTCAATCAGAGCCTGAGCAAAATGAGATGGGATTGTCTCAGTTGGACCGTATTGTTTCACGAAGAATGCTCCAGGAAGCAGGTGAAGTTGCAGTGCTGAGGAGGGTTGCATTGAGTCCAGGTGAGGGTTGTACAGTAACTGGCAGTGAATCGTGTTGCGGTCCTGTTGTGATACCATATTCATGATAGTTCATCATAGCAATCGTCAATATCAAGACCTCTTGGCGCAGTGGTAGCGCGTGAGATTCCAGTCGCTTCCGTTCCGAACGGAAGTCGCGGGACGTCCTCAAGGTCATCCGTTCAAATCGGGTAGGGGTCAGCTTTTTGGTCTTTTTTGCTTAAATATTTCTTGTGAAGACTTCGGCAAGAGAGGGTTTGCAAAATAATTGAGAGGGAGGTTGTGTTGATGACGATGTCAGTGCCACGAGGAAGCCTGGCGGTATGACTGTCCCGCATTGGTTTATTTGAACGTTCTCTTCGGTGTCAGCATCTCTGATCTTCTGTTCACATGTGACATCAGAACATTATCGCATGCAACATACAAACATACAGAAAGCAGACGGAGACGGGCACTGCAGACATATTCATGACGAGGGTGGTCGTTTATTGGTACATTTCATTTGATCTGGATCATAATAATAGTACACAGTGTCGTCATCAAGTCGAAACAATGGAGATGGTAAAGTCAACCGAGTGACCGCTTCCAGTAAAGACAGTCTCTTGCGTCGATCCGCTCGGAGTCCCGTCACTAGTGAACGCAGTGGACCCCCCAAAGGCTAGCAACAAGTTGCTTCCGGACGTTTGCTAAACAGTTGAGCGTGATCAGCACTTCGAACGTACACACTCAACGGAACGAGATACTTACAGCAGAGAAGGTCGACGCACTGACGCCACTCCCGCAAATTAACTGACCACTAGAGACGCCACAGCTTCCCTTCGAGGTCGACATTGTGAAGCTGGATGTAGACCCAGAAAGGGTGTACGTTGCAGGTGTCTGGACAGACCAAGTTCCGGCAGTGAGAAGACCGCCAGTAGAACTGGCTGAGAGGTGCGCCTTGGCGGGAAGGCTTCCGGGAGCCTGCAGCGAGATCGTTCAGCATGCAGATGGGAGACAGAATGATGGAGATGGTCTCACTCCTGTGGGTGGCGGCGGGTTGCCACCGCTTGTGGACGTTGGTCCGCTTGACGAGGAACCAGACTTGGGAGGGTACTTCAATCCAGAAGAAGCGCAAGATCCTTTCTTCGGTGCGTCTGTAGACACTTCAGTCGCTACTCTTTTAGTAAGAAGCGAAACGGAACTGCCTACCGATAGGCACGAACTCTCCGTCCAGAAGCGAGCCCTTCAAGTTGAAGTACCAGCTAATCTGGTTGATTGCGCCACTACTGCAGTCCAGTGCGGGTGTCACTCCAGTAGCGCTCTTCAATGCATCCGTTAGTGTGGAAAGAGAGAAGGTCTTGCTTGTGGAGGGGGTGATGCCAGCATCGGCAAGGAACTGATAGGTCGGAAGGGACTGAGCGTTTGCTCTGCGTCAGTACGGGCTCATCGCTGAGGAAGAAATCTGGTGACGTACCTTGAATAGCTTGACTACAGTGTTGAAGAATGCAACAGCTTCAGCACCTCTTGGGCTCCCCGAAGGCAGACAGGAGGTCTCCAAAGTGCTGTAGCATGTGCCGTGCTTGCTCCATTCATGCTATGGCCACGGGTAAGTCGGCAAACATGGGTTGTAGACTAGTTCAGAAACGAACCTCCCAGAATTGCTCGTTTTGGCCATTGATATCTACCCAAAACTTCCGAAAAGCATTCAGTGAACGTTCTGTGTGGCAGCACTCATCGCTGCTCTTACCTCTTTCATGAAAGAGAGGGTATCACTGGCACCCTGAGAGGACAACAGGTCGGCAATGTCGGTATACGCGCGAGATGGATCGCAATCCTGCCCAAATGTTCCATCACAGCTATACCAAATGGGTCAAATTGGAGTGTCTGAGCATCAAAGCATCGCCAAAAACGTACTTGTCAGGCCACAAACCTGAGCAATATGTAAGTCTGCCATAGACGAGACAGAGGAGCAACGACAAGTCTTACCGTGGATGGTCCAGCTGTCAGAGGGACCCGTGGAAGGGTTGGTATCCCAGAACTACCTCAGCGTCATCAGAAAACGCCACCTCCGTCACCGAGGTTAAACACACCTGCGTCTGCAACAGTAGTCCCTACGAGGACGATCTTAATATTTGATGAATGACTGTAATCAATGGCAACAACGTACCCCGGGAGACTCGAAACAGCATAAGTCGGAGACGTGCGTCGTGTTGTGACACGAAGCAGGACCGGTCGTGGAACATCCCGAGCTAATCCGCTTGAATAGGTTCACAGGGTCCGCGTAGGAGAACCCGACTGGCGAAGCCATGGTCATAGATCCAAGACCAGCGATGAGAAGTAGTGCGTTCAAAGCCATGGCGAATGTCTCCGGGGATGTGAGGGTCGCGGAGGGGTAATTGTAGGAAAGGACGTCGCCTTATGTACCCAAGGTCAGGTAGAATGTCGGAGCGGAAGATTAGGGACTCGAAGACGCGAAGAGAGGCACGGTGTCGGGGAACCTGCTCTGGTGACGGGCTGTCAGAGGGGGTGTCGGGCGCAAGGACCGTAATGGAACGGAGATGCGCATGTTCGTTTTATGTTCTGTCTGTGCCACGGTAAGATGCATCTCCGGGAAACCAGAACCCCTCGAACAGCATGGTTGCTTCTTGCAGAGACAAATCGTGTATTAGCAAGGGTCATATGCACATCTGTCCTCCGGCTGTGAAAAAGGCTTATCAACTCAGAAGCAGCATGATGCTGGAACGAACACACCTGTCTGATCTCAGGTGTGCATATGCACTAAGTAAGAAGGATGTCGCCGGGATAAAAGAAAGCATATGGATGGGTATAATTAAAGGTAACCATGTGTGCGCGTGAAGGCGGGGACGGGAATCAGGGCGACCATGTAGAGTTGGAGTTCGCATGCCCTTGGCTGGTTGAAACCAGGATCTTGTTCATGGCCAGTGGCGATGCAGTTGCAACACGAACAGCTTGTTTCTTCTCCCGATAAGGCGGATTCATCCATCCACAGAAGTTGCTGATTGACGATCCTGGAGATCGAAGCATTGTCGAGATGCCGGCCGGGGGAGGAAGAAGCAGGATGGCCCTATCCGGGTGTCGGTTTGGGAATGAAGGCGATCCCGACGAGAGTGGACCATATGGACAAGTCAGACACGACGGAAGGGGCCCGACAATGAAGCGCAGGAATTCATTGATGATAACAGACTGATCTTGAATCAGGTAGTTGCTGAATTGACTTCAAGCTAACGCGGAACGCCACTGGCAGTTCAGACTGAACCAAGACTGAACAATCTTCCATGTATCGACGTGCACCTCGCTGAATTGCCCTCTGAGTTCGCACCGACAGTTGTGCTTGAACGTTTGTCAAATGAGAGCCAACGTGCGATGCGCTCGTATTGTATTCGGATATTATGCTGTGAGATGGAAGTGGAGAATCAGCAGCACATCCCCGAGGAAGCTAAATTTGGACATCACTTCGCCCGCATGCGTTGCACCATGTGGAAAACCATATCTTCCTTATCCTCTGGCCTATCTTCCCTGGATACCGGTGGAGTAAAGATGATTGCCACTCTTTCAGTCAGAACGTTGCTATGCAGCAGGAGGACTCTGACAAAACATTGAAGACAAGGGCTCAGAACATATGGGCGCTTGGCAGCGGCCCGTCGCACCCGCCTGCAAGAAAGTGTTCAGTGGAGCAACAGGAAATGAGTTGCGACGAACGCTCACCTCTACATGCTGCGGTGTAAGAAGATTGCAACGATCCCAAAAAAGAGGTCAAAACAACAGAGGGGGTAATTATCCAAAAGGGTATGTCATTGGAACAGATCCTATATAGATATAGGTGCAGTCATTAGATCCAAACCGTCACTAACATTCACGGTCATCACAGCATCGACAAGGAGAGAAAAATATCAAGTAGGAGATAGGGAGGTAGCACTGGATGGAACGCGACCCACGGGCTTCCCCAGGAAACACCGCGCGCCGGACGAGAGCGAAATAACGGAATACATTGCGGATAACTGGCTGGCAGACAAACAGACAGATGAGCTTTACGCTCGTCGTCCGTTTGCGTTGATCAAGCGGATCAAATGACGGATCCTGACACGCCAGTTGTCCCCGTATACGAAGCCGATCAGCCCACTGATGAACTCCCTGGAATGACATCAGTATCTGGTCGACAACGATAATCAAGCATGGAGATTTGGGGAACATACCATGACTGGCTCACAGAGCGGATGGGATAGTCCAGGACTTGGGGTATGGTTGTCTGGAACAGCCACGGCCAACGGTCTGATACGATCGCCTTGGGGTATGTGAGTGAACGGAGACCCTCTGGTCCACCGAATCGGCCGTATCCTGACATTTTGGTGCCACCGAAGGGTAGATCTTGGCTGCAGAGGGAACGGGACAAGTGTGAGTCTGGTGTTTCTAAAATCTCCGGAATCATGGATGCTTACTTGGTCTGGAGAGGAAAGTAACACGTGTCAGCCAGAATTATCACTTCTGACGAAGAAATTCGACTTACATAGAACGTTGCAAAGTCGTTGATGGCGACCATACCGCAAACGAGCCTCTGTGCTATTTGTTCGCACCGCTCTTGGTCAGGTCCAAAGACACTTGCTCCCAACCCATACCGGGTTCCGTTGGCAATATCCACAGCCTCATCTAAGGTCTCGTACTTCATGACCAGGACAATAGGAGCGAACACTGGCGAGTAACTTCATGAACATTATCATTGATATGAGCAGACACGTTACTCACCCTCTTTCTGAGCAATTAGCGAGTGAGGATCCACGTTGCCAAGCACTGTCGGGAGGAAGAACAATCCATGCTCATAGTATGGATGATTCCAAACATCACCACCCGCCTCACAGGTAGCACCATGGTTGATAGCCGTTTCGATTAGATTCTTCAGTTCGGGGAAACGATGGCTGGAGATCATGGCGCCACAGTCCACAGTGGGAATGTGACCATCCATGGGGCGAGAGATGGCGCAACCGAGACGGAGCTGTTGAGCACGTTCGTTGAGGATCCTGTAAACTTGATCGTATTGGGAGGAGTGCACTATGACTCGCTCAATACCAATGCAGTTTTGGCCAGCGTTTTGGCTGAAGAACATCTCGGTTAGATTACCTCAGGCAGACTGTACAGGTACACTCACAAAATACCACGAAGTATAATGCTCATGTACTGCTCAAGTGGCGTTGCGGGCATGATAATCG